CAGAGAATCACAACCTACCAGAGCAGAACCTCCATGGGAACCAGTAATGGGGTAGGAAAACCTAAACTGTAGTTGGCGAATTGCTGAAAGCTAAGTGTAGATAAGGTGGAGTTAAAAACTCCAAGGGACCCAGTCATACACACATCCCCAGCCCCACACACACTTTGTGTTTTGCCCCCAGGAGTCCTACCGGATTCTCACAGCAAAGACAGGGAAAGTCCCCTCTTGCTTTTTGCCGGAGGACGGGAAAGTAGCCATTTTCAAAGAGACCCAAAGCATTCAGCAGTTTTAGTTTGTTTTTTAATTGATTCCAGAGAGAAAAGGGAGAGGATAGAAACATCAATGATGAGACTCATTGATTGACTGCTTCCTGCCCACCTCTTTCTGGGGATCAAGCCCACATCCCTGGCATGTGCCCTGACCAGCAATCGAACCATGACCTCCTGGTTCATGGGTCATTGCTCAACCTCTGAGCCACACCAGTGGGACATTCTGCAGTTCTTAAGGAGGCCTGCCCTCTAGGGAAACTATTTCACCAGAACCTAACCCTACTGAAGTTTTGTTGGGGCCTAACTGACCTGGGAGAAGTCTTCCAGGTGGGAGCAGGGCAAATACCCAACTCCAGCCACCTCCAGCCATCCTGCTCCACCTAAGGAAGGAAACACTGAGAGGCCTGGCAACCCTTTTTGGGACTCCTCTAGCCTAGTGTTTTGTTACTTTCACCTTAATAAACCTCCCCTTTGGTTAAAAACAGCCACCACCACAAAAACCTGAGAGGCCCTTGTGAAGGTCATAGCCCAGGGGCACAGGCTTACTCTCTCTTTCTCCCCCGCACACACCTCCCCACATCACTAAAGCCTATTGACAGTGGTTCTTTAGCAGGCACATCATGTCCGGCTTTCAACAAACAATTACTACATGGATGCCAAAATGTAAAAAAACATTTCAAAGACAAAAAGCAAGCTGACTCAGATACAGCAGGCACGTTGGAATTATCAGGCCAGGAATTTAAAATAATTACGTCAATATGCTAAGATAATACGTATCAATATACTAATGGAAAAGTAGACAACTTTCAGGAACCAATGGCTAATGTAAGCGGAAAGACAGAAATTAAAAGACTCAAGAAGAAATCCTAGAAATATAAAAACACGGTAATAGAAATAATGAAAAAATGACTTTAATGGGTTCATTAGACTGGACACAGTTAAGGAAAGCATCTGTGAGCTTGGGAATATATCAAAAAAATTTTCCAAAACTGAAAAGCAAAATATTTTTTTAAAGACTAAGGAAAAGGGGAACAGAATAGACACAAACTTTGGGACAACTACAAAGGCTTAGCATATGTGTGAGGGGAATACCAGAAGAGAAAAAGGAACAGAGGAAATATTGGAAGCAATAATGACAGAATTTCCCCCAAATTAACGTCAGACAGCTAAACACAGAATAAGGATAAATGCCCCCCCAAAAAATCTACAACTAGGCCTATCATATTCAAATTGCAGAAAATAAAAGAAAAAAAAAATCTTGAAAGCAGCAAGGGGGCAAAAATACCATATATATATATATAGAGGAACAAAGATAGAATAGCATCAGGCATTTCCTCATAAACCATGCAATGGAAAAAAGTGAAATATGCATTGAAAAACAAAAACACCAACCTATTAATTCTTTATTCTGTGAAACCATCCTTCAAAAGTGAAGGAGAAATAAAGACTTTTTCAGACAAAAATTGGGAGAATTTGTTGCCAGGTCTGCCTTGCAAGAAATATAATTTCAGAGAGAAGGAAATGATATATAGGTCAGTGTCGACATAAGAAATGTCCAAACCTGTAGAGAAGTTTTGATTTAATTTCAGTCAAGATGACAATTGCTAGAAAGCAAAATTTCAACGGATTGAGAAAATGCTCCATAGAATAGCAGTTTTACAACTTTATACATTAGAAGCAAAAGAGAAGACGTAAAGGGGTTACATGAAATCTATTGCTGGTAGATTAGGGAGGCAGAAGAAAAGAAAACAGCGAAATCTCTGGAATTGGATATAAAGTAAAACAGAGACACTTTTTTTAGATTGGTGGGTGTAGGACAGTGGTTGGCAAACTCATTAGTCAACAGAGCCAAATATCAACAGTACAACGATTGAAATTTCTTTTGAGAGCCACATTTTTTAAACTTAAACTATATAGGTAGGTACATTGTTATTAACTTAATTAGGGTACTCCTAAGCTGGCCTTTGCTAAAAACATCCTCAATCTGATTGAGGTACGTTCGCTGAGGTCAACCCCTTCCAACTCTCCCATCCACACTCGTCTTGTATACTTGTTTCGTCTATCTCCTTTCGTTTATCCTCTCTATATGTCCGAACCATCTCAACATACCTTTCTCAATCCTCGACACTACATCTTCTTTCACTCCACAACGTTCCCTAAAATTAACTTAATAAACTTTAAAGTTTTAAGTCAACTTCGCACTGTACGTGCGCGCCCACACGTGGTATTTTGTGGAAGAGCCACACTCAAGGGGCCAAAGAGCCGCGTGTGGCTCGCAAGCTGTGGTTTGCCGACCACTGGTGTAGGATAACAACATTTACAGCACTTAGAGATGGTACGTGGGGAACAAGATAACAATGAGGGGTTCTGTGGTCTCCTGTTCTGGTGGGGGAAGTGTTCCTGAAGAAGGGGTTTACTCTGACTTTGCAAAGGTATGTTATTTTAGATGCAAAAGGACAATAGACAGGATCACTTAAGGTAAAGAATGACCTTTGTTAAGGAAGCTAAAGGCCTAGGATGACTCATTTTTGGTTAGCAAGTTTTATGTCCAGAATATCCTATGTGACTATTTCTGGTTTCTGAGTATGTAGGATCTAAGCTTGTCAGGTTTCGTATGTGGCCCCTTTCTCATCCACAACAGTATCTACATAAAGAAAGGCAGAGCATTAGAGAAGGAGTAAGTGAGGATAAGATACTTCAAATGGTTTTGTATCATATTTACCTTGTTGTTTGTCATAAACTACAAGTAATTTCAATCACTAGGCAATAAAAGTTGTATTAATAACTGGAAATTGTTTGGAATCAGACAAGGAAAAAGATGAGCAAAATGTGGTTAAGATTTCCTTGGCCCTAATTAAGATTCTTTCTGCCCAACCAGTGTGGTTCAGTGGTTTAGCACTGACCTATGAACCAGGTCACGGTTAGATTACCATGCCACCCAGGTGTGATCTGAGAGCTTCTCTTCATCATGGATGTTTCTACCTCTCTCTCCGTCTCCCTTCCTCTCTGAAGTCAATAAAAAAATAATTTATAAGCAAGGATTCAAAAAAGTCATATACATAAGAAAATTTTCAACAAAAATTTGTCCTAAGAAATTATTTTCTGCACATTTTAAAAAATATTTTTCATTGAAATCCCCCAAAATGTACTTGTCTTCAAAACCCTAGGCTTTGTTATTCAGATAAACATCAGTTTCACAATATAAGAATTTGTTTGCCTTTTAGAGAACTGTTTTAAAGACTTTTGACCATATTTTCCCATTTTTATATTTTATTCAAGTATCTAACTTTTGTTAACTATATTAAAATTTCAAATAGCAAACAATAAAAGATGACTTAATCGTTGCAAATTATATCCTTTTGAGAGTACTTGAATATTTAAAGCATTAAAGTGTAAACGAAAAAATAATTTTACAGTCAGCACTTTACTGACATGACTATCATCGCTTTCAATGAGAATAAACCAAATCTTAAAATACGCATTTAGAGTTCATTACTCCCCACCTTAATTTCCTTTCATCTGAAACTCAGAAGCAATGTGTGTCCACTTTAGGGAAGATTTAGATATGAAAAGTTTATTTTAAAAAAATAAACAACTTTCAATTTTACAATATTTTCCACTTCCAAGATTCTTTTAGATAGAGCAATATGTGTCTTGTGGTTTAAACAAGACCTGATTTATAAAATTTCCTTTAGTCCTACTTAGTAAAACAAAACACACAAAAACAAATGGTGAAATATTAATAACTATTAAGAAACCCAATGTGAAAGTGTAAAAAAAATACCAAAAAAGCAAAAACAGCATTTGTTGCAGTTACCTAAAATGGCAATTTTTAAAGTATACGAAGCAGCTTTCACTGAAATGCAATGTACTGGTGCATTTTACCAAAATTAAAACTATTATATTAAAATGTAGGCTTTGTGGACTAGGTTTATTTTTCCAAAAATTTTATCATCTGTACCAGGGATTGGCAAGTTTTTCCTTAAAAGGTCAGAGAGTAAATATTTCAGGTTTGCGGGCCAAACGGTCTCATTGCTCCACTCTGAAACTATAGGAAGAAAGCAAGCGCAGACACCACATCAATGAACGGGTATGCCTGTGACTGCAGTTTGAGCACCGCTGGGCTAAACAATGGATTTTGATTAAGAGACTAATTATATTTCAGGTACCATATTATAAATGTCATATATGGAAGTTAGGAGGAACAATATAGATGGATAGACGTCATTCAAGAAACAATTAAAATGTTCACAAGTAGGCCCTAGCCAAGTGGCTCAGTTGGTTGGTGTCATCTCATGAACCAAAAAGGTTGTGGGTTCGATTCATGGATGTTTCTCTCTCACTCACTCCCCCGCCCCCCACATCGGTCCTCACTCTCTAAACATCAATAAAAGCATATCCTAAGGTGAGGATTAAAAAAAAAAAAAAGTTCACATTTACTTGCCAATCATAATTGATGGTGTGTAATAATGTTTACATACAAATTAAATATACTTTCATTCATTTTAATTCCATATTTTTTGGTGTGTTAATAGAATCAGACCAAACTCAGATAAGCAGCAAAGTACCATGAGTGAGTACTCGGAGGCTAATCAAGAACCATGAAATTTGGTTTTGACATCTAAATATTTCTACACAATGAAAAAACTTTTATGTACTGGATCCCTAAAGAAAATATTAGATGTATATTTCAGGTGTTGTTTTAAAATTTAATTGTTACAATTTTGAAGCTAAATGTGATTTGCTTTTGTTTTATTAGAAAAAATACTCAGCAAGGTCTACAATCATTGGTCAATTAAGAATGACTTACAAGAACATGAGGCAATAAAATAAAAAATACAGGTACAAACTATATATCTGAAACACTTCTATTTGGCAATTTTTTAACAAACCAAAATTTAAAAAGAGCAAAGAAGATTGCAGATTACTTCCAGATACAGAATAAAGCAATTAATGAAGTGCTTAAGCAAAAGAAACAAAAATGGTAAGAAAACACACTGCTTTTCTTTTCTTTTTAAAAATAAAATCACATTTGCTACAGATCATATGGATAATACCCTTATTAAACAACCATTCCAGAATGTCTTATAGTACCAGTGCTTTTATTTGCACTTCATTTCATTTTATATGACTCATTTCATGTATATAGCTCTTTACCCCATTGTTTACGAATAAAGTCCCCATAACTTTTATTTTAAAATATTTTAAAGTAAATGAGATATGATTTATGTATCATGAAACTTTCCCATTTTGGAACCAAAGGCTTGGTTCTATATTTTTGTCTATTCTTTAAAAATTTAGTGTAAAAACTGCTGGTTTTTATATCACTGTAGTAAAGTGAAAACTCCTCAATCAGGAGTATTTTCTGCAGTTTGATTGCATATAACCACATACTTTACAATATGTCCTTCCAACAGTAAGGAAATGATTGATTTCACAGTCACTGTCAGAAATGAGTGCCATAATTCTATTATGGGTATAGGTCCTCCCTCAAAGACTTTCTGGAAGGATGTTCAATGTGTTTTGTTCTTAAAGATATTAACAGTAGTACATAGTCCCTTAAGTCTGCAAAGACATTTATTGTTAAAGAAGGTGCTTTATTAACAATTCCTCTGGCAGCACTAGTGAATTATAATATCCTTCAATATTATTTCTACCCATAATATATACATTTAACTTTCATGTCTCTAGAAAAACATCTACAGTACATTTCATAATATAAAAATATATTACAAATCTGCTGAATTATTTACAAGCAATGTTCTATTATCTCTATGCAACATTTGTTTGATACAATACTAACAAGTTACACATATTTCCATTTCTGTAAGTTAAAAAAAAAATCCATATGGCTTCTTGCTTAACCAAGCAAGAAAGTGATTTTATTTTCTTTTTCAAAACCAACTTTGGTGCATAAAGGATTCATTCAGTTTGACAACACTTAAAAAATACAATTTTTCTTATGTTAAGAAAAAACTAATTAACCAAATGCTTTCCTCAGAAAAAAAAAATTAGAGGCTTATGTAGGTTAAATGAAAATAGAGGATTATTAAAATATTTGAAATAAAGGTTTTTCAAAAACCGTTAACAGATTAGTTATATAGGTAAATATTAACATACTGTACTCCATTAGAAAACCCTAGTCCTGAAAAGGGAGCCACCAGACATACGGCAACACTCTTTAACAGAAATTTGCAGCCCTAATTCGAAAGACGAATATTTAGTTGATTGCAAATGTCGTTCACTGTTTGCTTAAATACAAATTGAACACTTTTCTTATCAGAGTTCTGCAAAAGAACACAAATGGCAACCAATCACATCTATTTATAATTGATAATTTTCATTGCCTAATATGTCCTAATATGACTTCAAATCGATAGACACTGTCAAGATAAATATCCTTACAGTGCTTTTGGTATTTGTATGGGCACATGTTGTAATTGTTTTTCTTTCCAATATAAACTACTGCAATCACTAAAGGGGGGAAAAAGCAGCTTAAAGCAGCAAGCATGCAAAGCCTTTAAGAAGCTATTCCACTAAGTTGCCAAAAGAGTGTTTGCTCAGTCTCCCACAGTACCATTCCATGAAAATGTGGACATACAGTAATATATTAATATATTCCACAGAAGAGCCTACTTCATTCACAGAATGTTTACACTAAGCATAAATATTATTCTAAATATTGGATTAAAAAAGAGGAAGGGGGTTGAGTCTAATGTGCAACTTTTACTAAACCCATTGTCAGTGACTAAGACTGCAGGTGTCCCCGCTTGTTTGCTTTTTATGTATTTATTTATTTTTTACCTCTTCAACCTCTTCTGCGGCATTGTTCTAGAAAAAGAGAAAAAGGAATATTCTTTTATTCAACTCTATCAAAAACACATTAAGTATTTTAAGAGACATTAAGAATATTTATAAAATATAGGCAATGTGATGATCATTGATCATCATTAAAATTTATTTCCAAAGCATTCACACATAATGAATACATAGTTACATAGTATAGCCTTTTAATTAATCCTTTTTATGTAGCCTGCTAGTGTATTTCTAAAAAAGCATTTCATGTCTAACACATACATTTTAACCAACTAATGCTACGGAAACTAATGTTTAAAATCTCAAATAAATAGGTTCTTTTTAGTCTTTTTAAGATATTTTTAGAAGGTTTGCCATACTTTCATTTTGAAATGTGCATAAACAAATTATTTCTCCTAAAACTAGTTAGAATAACTGCTTTTTCCCCTTTTACTTAATCTCACAAGTTTTCCCTACCAAAATCCAAAACATTCTTAATGCTACACCACAATAAATGTAAGGAGTTCTATTACTCTGTACCACTTTAGGGTAAACTAAATTCTAACTTTCAGAATAGCAGAAGCATGAAAGTTTAGACTCAAATGTTAAGATTGAGGTAGTTAAAAAAAAAAAATACCTCCACAGAAGTACCTACATGTGTTAAGAACATCTTCATTACCCCAAAATGAAATCAGTAAGTATTGTAGAATTACACTGAGAACATGCAATTCCTATGCACTTATAACATCATTGGTTCTGAGCTTGAATGATTTTTTTAAGTCACTTTCACTATAATATCTAAATTGCTTCCTATAGAGCACAAGAAGGGGGGGGGGGTTGGTTCTGTGAGAAAGGAGACCCTTAGAGAGGGGGGAGTACAAGGCCGGGCAGAAACACTGAAGTTAGTCTTAATCATATAATTAAGATTCATGCCCCTTTGTCAACTCTCTGCCTAGGAAATGTTTACAACCAGTTGTAATAGCAGGGTGGCTCTCCCAAAATATCACTCTTTTAGAATGCTAATTTTAATTACATCCTTCAAAGAGTAAGCAGAAATAACCTTAAATTAGGTAACAGTAAATAAACAATATTCAATTATTTCTTAAATAGTGACTTTTCTGTATTTTCGATGGTGGATTTACCTCAATCTTCTTCCTTAAGATATTTCATTGTTCTCTATACCAGTTAATTTCTTGATAACCCAGCTCGGTCCACAGAAACAAGATTTTATTGAACTTAGCACTTTCACCAAAAGATATTTTAAAATTTATTTTTGGAGTAGGAAAAACTGAGTCTCAGTGTTTCCACATGGCAAGGCCCATTATGTTAGAATTTCATTCTCAGAAGATGTCTCAAATTATAGAAATCCTATTGCATTGACTAACATTCCACAAAAAGTTGTGTCGTGGAATGAACCAAACTTTCAAAGTGTTAATTACTTCAAAATCCGGCACAGTCTCCTTATGATAGCTAGAATTCACATTTGGGATTATCCCGAATTTTTATATGTCCTCTTATTCTTATCCAATCTATTCCTATTATAAAATACATACTAAATTAAAATTTATCTTAAAAAAATAGAAATTTTGTTCATTGATAGTGCCTTTAGCCAGGCCGGTGTGGCTCAGTGGTTGAGCATCAACCTATGCCAGGACATCACAGTTCAATTCCCAGTCAGTGTACATGCCTGGGTTACAGGCTCAATCGCGTGTTGTGCGTGCAGGCGGCAATCGATTAATGATTCTCTCATTACTGATGTTTCTATCTCTCTCCCTCTCCCTCTCTGAAATCAATAAAAACATTTTTTGAAAGACTGCCTTTAAAGCATTTTCATCACTTTTAAATATATTTTTATTGATTTCAGAGAGGAAGGGAGAGAGAGAGAGAGAAACATCAAAGATGAGAGAGAATCATTGAATGGCTGCCTCCTGCACGCCCCCACTGGGGATTGAGCCCGCAACCCGGGCATATGCCCTTGACCAGAATAGAACCTGGGACTTTTCAGTCCACAGGCTGACACTCTATCCACTAAGCCAAACCGGCTAGGGCTCACCACTTTTGAAATTTGGGTAGAGGCAGTATGGAGTTCAGTCATATAATATCTGTGTAACTTTGGGCAAGCTATCTAACCTCTCGCTTCAGTTTTCTAATCTGTAAAACAGAGACAGTGACACCTATTTCACAGGGCTGCTGTGTGAGTGAAGTATATGTAAAGCACCTAGCAAAGTGACTTAGCACATTGTCAGAAAAGTTGGGTCCCTTTTCCCCACCTCTACCCCACCTGATACCTCCCTAAGCACAGGACACTAAAACAAAGGTCAAAGCAGAAAATTATTAGAAATGTAAACACTGGGAACTACCTCTTAAAAACAAACAGTGCTATATTATCTTTCTCAATTCTATAATTTATAAATCTTTGTAACTGCTCGAGAAAACAAGATTATGCTTGGTAATGAATTCAGTACTTAAAAAATAAATCCTAACCTTACACCAAATATTTAGAGAGATTTCAAGATTATAATTCAGAAAGTAAAACATCAAATCAACAAGTAAATTACCTGTATATGTTTGGGTCCAAAAGCAAGGCAGTATCTTTGGGTAGCTTTGATAAATGAACTACTTTAGTTTTTAATTGATGTCGCTCACTTTCATTCACCCACACGTCAGGCAGACTATAAATTAAAAAACAAGCCATACATAAAATAACATTAATTTTAAATTTACCACTCATATACCTTCATATTACCCAGCCATTTCTGCTAGTTTGACAGGGCCACCTAGGTTATTAACAAGCTTCTCATAGCCAAATGAACTTAACAATCTAGGTAGTGGGATGAAGAGAAATAGCAGGGTGAAATTTGAGGCACAAATTTGGGATGCATTAGGAATTTTTGGTAGCCAAGTCATATCAAACTTATATACTGCCTGTCCTTTAGCTTGCTGAGTGAAATTCACATTTGAGCTTGACATGATGTAAATTTGACACAGAGTTTCTTCATGAAGAAATAAGAAGTAAAAACACCACCAAATTCCACTTTTTAAAAAATGCACATGTAATCAAAATTCCAAAATCAAAGAAATGTGATCCTATAAGGAAATTCAAATAAAAGCAAATTGATATTTGGATGGATCAATTTCCAGAACACCAAGAATACAGACATTTAAATATATATTTTTAAAGAAACTATAGGGTTGGCAAAAGCAGGTTTATAGTTGTTCAAGTGAAAAATAATACAACAGTAAATAATAACACGTTTCATGTACTCACAACTATAAACCTACTTTTGCCCTACCTCTATATATTTATGACCTTAATATATAAAAATAGCTCTTACAAATCAGTATGAAAGAGGCAGTGAACATTAATTAGGGAAAGAGGGATAGGGTAGACAAAGCACACTAACCATCAATTTACCAAAGATATGAACAGTTTAAAAATGATCTTACTGCCCTAAGCTGAAGGGTCCCAAGTTCGACTCCGGTCAAGGGCACAAACCTCAGTTGCAGAGGCAACCAATTGATGTGTCTCTCTCACACCAATGTTTCTCTCTCTGTTTCTCCTCCTCCCTTCCACTCTCTCTAAAAATCAATGGGAAAATATTCTCAGATGAGAATTAACAAACAACAAAAAATAAAAATGATCTTACTTGTAATCAAAGAAATGCAAAATATAAGAATGTAACAGCCAGTGTTGATAATAAAGAAGATAAAAAAGCTCTCTAATGAAGTAGATGGGATTAGATATTGCTAAAAACTCAGGAGGGCAATACTTATCAAAAACTGTAACATTTTGCGTAGTTTGTATACTAGTAGACTTTAGAATATCTTTCTTTAACAGTAAAGAAAAATGGGTAATTTCAATGTTCAGAAAAAACAACAACAGCTCATTAAATACATTTTACAGGGCCATGTATTTACTTTTTTAATATGTTTTTTATTGATTTTTAGATAGAGATAAAGGAAGTGGGAGAGAAACAACAATCGATTGGCTGCTTCCTACACGTCCCCTCCTGATCAAGCCCAAACCCTGGACATATACCCTGATCAGGAATTGAACTGGTGACCTCTTGGTGCACAGGAAACCGCTCAATCCACTGACCCACAGCAGCCAGGCTTCAGGACCATTTAAAAATGTCTTACACCAGTCAGAGAAAGGCAAGTACCATATGATTTCACTCATGTGGAATCTAATTTAAAAAATAAACTAACGAACAAAATAGAAACAGACTCATTAGCGAACAGACTGACAGCTGTCAGAGAGAAGGTGGGTTGCCAGGCTGGGTGAAAAAGGTGAAGAGATTAAGCAAAAAAAACCAACACACACACACACACACACACACACACACACACTACTCACAGATACAGACAATAGCATGGAAATTCCGAGGGGCGAGTGGGAGAGGGTATAGAGGGGATAAATGGTGATGTAAGGGAACTTGACTTGGGGTGGTGAACACATAATACAATATACATAGAGATGATGTACACTAGAATTGTACACCTGAAACCTATATAATTTTATTAACCAATGTCACCTCAATAAATTCAATTTTTAAAAAAGATTTAAAAAATGCATTTTAAGCTCTTTAAGTAGGAGTGGAATTAGTAGGATGATGAATGTATGCTTAAAGAATTGTACAGATTTAAATAAAAAAACAGAGGCCAAGAGAAGAGATTAACCAAAGAACTTATATGCATATATGCATAACACATAAATGCATAATCCATGGACACAGACAATAGTGCAACGAAGGCCTGGGGGAGGGGAGAACTGGATGGAGGGGGTCCAGAAGGGAAGAAAGAGAACATCTGTAATACTTTCAACAATAAAGATAATTTTTTAAATTATTACTTTTAAAATGTCCTACAGTTTAATTTCCATAAAACCTGAAAGGGAAGGAGGAGAAAGTGGTGGAAAATATGTTCTACACTATTAGAAGCTTAATAGTCAAAGGATTTTTTAAAAACTAAATGGATTTCTTTACACTGATATACTAATGTGCACTGTAAACTCACAAACCTACTTAAGAACATTTAATTCACATCACATTCATTAACATTTTCTTAAACAGAGTTTATTAAACAAAATTTTAAAAAGGATTCAAAATCCAGGACAAATATTACCACATATTGCTAATTTTTTGAAGAATAAGTATACACAATTTGATTCTACTTCTTAAAAATTTATTCTATTCTTGGTGCTTATCAATTCCATTAAAAATTTCTATCATATACTTCTATTACCTATTATAATAAGAGAAAATTTTTTAATAAAAGGATAAAACGAAAATTAAAACTGAAATCTAAATTAAGGAATATCTGGGTCAGAAGTGCTCTAAACGGTACTAAAACACGAAGAAAAATGTAATGGTGCTGAAAACCTGGTCAACTGCTTTTTCTATAAAACACTGTGGGTTGGATAATGTTTAGAATTTTTTTTTAAATAAATGATTCAAACAAAGGGCCAACTAAGGCTGCTTGCATACTACTTGAGGGCCATTGAAAATTCTAAAAATAACCACATCCAATTAAAAATCTTTCATAGATTATCTCTTTAATCCTGACCTCAAAATATTTCATAGTTTAATTTCCATAATTCTGTTATATTTGAATCCAATAATGTTAAGTAATTTTTGAGTAGATGATTTAATTTTTAAATATATTTTTATAAGTTCAGCGAAGAAGGGAGAGGGAGAGAGAGATAGTAATATCAATGATGAGAGAGAATCATCGATCGGCTGCCTCCTGCACGCCCACACTGGGGATTAAGCACACAGTCTGGGCATGTATCCGGACTAGGAATCCAACCATGACCTCCTGGTTCATAGGTCAACACTCAACCACTGAGCTACACCGACAGAGCGAGTATGAGATTTTAATAAAAGACATTAGTCTATTAATTACACATAGTATTCCAAATACTTACATGTCTTCAGGCATCCAATGAAGCAAAAGTTTTATCTTTCCAGAATCCTCTTTTCTCTTAGCTATTACCTAATGATAAGAAATCATAACAATGATTTGTAACACATTCTAATATCATTAAAAGGCACTTTTAATCCTAATCAAGAACTTTTAAGTGTTGTATCCTGAACTAGATATCACCACCACATCTTGTTCTGCCTTGTTTTTCCCCCCCAATTTTACCTTTGATTATGTACTTTCACAAAAGAGGAAAAAAGGAACTGAAGACAAGGTTTGTATAGCCAAATAGAAAAACCAGCCCAGCCGGTGTGGCTCAGTGGTTGAGCATCAACCTATGAACCAGGAGGTCAGAGTTTGATTCCTGGTCAGGGCACAGGAATCTCGAGCAGGGGACGGATGAATGATTCTCTCTCATCACTGATGTGTCTATCTCTCTTTCCCTCTCCCTTCCTCTCTGAAATCAATACAAATATATTAAAAAAGAAAAACCATATTATCTTTATTAAGGGACTGAAAATGCTATTTACTATCTCCTAAGTCTGTGGCTTAGCTAGAATGCTACCATGGTTCTACATTGGCTAGAATATTTTTAAAGAACAAACAGTAAAGAAAAAATACTTCTAGGAAGGGAAAAGTCTGTAATTTACAACGGAGACATTTTTTGTTTGCTTGGAGGTTCTTGGTTGGTTGGTTTTATTTTAAATGAACATCAGCCGAACAGTGTTTAGGTTCAATCTTAAGGAACCCACATAAATTAAAAGGTGGATCAACCTGAACAAAAAGACCTGTAGAAGGGTAAGAAAAAAAATGTACTTGCCATTCATTACCAGATTCTGAAATTAAGATAATACTTAAATTAAATAAAAATAGATCAAGATGGTATTTTGTAACTTACACTTTCCATGTTAACAAAATTAGCACGTTAGTTTTAATAATCTAAATCTCAATATTTTTACCAAGTTTAAATTCTAAAAAGCCACACAAAATTGTCATCCTCAAAACATAGAACTAAGTAACAGCACTCTATGCAAAAATGAAATACTTTCTATCTCCATTCCGAAAAACCTATAGTCAATACCCCATTCTAGACTTGACAATGAGATTAATTAAAAAGCACAAAGACAGAGCTGAAATACCTCGACAAAAAAAAAAAAAAAAGATATGAAAACAATGCAAACCAAGCAAGCACAGCAAGCCAACTGACTGGTAACTAGGAATCTGCTGACCTCTTCTGGAGAAGGCTCGAAAGAAAATGTTTCAATTAAAGAAGACAAATTAGGTAAACTGCACAGCATAGAGCCTCACAGATACATTTTCCTCCAAATGGTTTCACTAAGTTAATTTAATAACTAGGAAACTTAAAATCTGACTGCTAACAGAAGTGATTATGCTTAACACATACTGCCTCCATCAAAATCTTCCCAGCCATGGAACTTCGAAAAACAGCTCCTTTCCTTTCTACTGTGTCCAACAAACGCCTTTTCCCATTATGGATGTCTCTTCCTTCCACTTTCCCCAGGAAAAAAGCATTCTCCAGATCACACTCCACCCTCAGTCAAGGTTACCTATACCTCCCGTGTCACCTGGGGGCGGCAAGTCACTCTTATTTCTGTTTCTTAAATTTATGACAAACATAGGTTTCATGTTCTTAAAATCTCTCAGATGTTTTCTACAGCTAGAAAACTTATTTTCAAGGTCACAGACTATTTTGACTGTCAGTAAATTTTTAAATTTCTTCCAAACTCCTTATATCACCATTATTGGTAGTTCCTTCATTTTTTTTTAATCATCTCAATTTCTCCACAGTAAACTTAAGGATTTTATCACAGGAGCTGCTCTAATGAAAGCATGTAAAAGTTGGAACTTTGCTTTTTAAAATACAACCTTCTTTATCACATCACCACTCCCTATTCCCTAATATGCAGAGACACTTGCTCATTAGACCATTATTTCATTGCGTTTATTGCTTATTAAATGTTAATGAGCCCCAAACCTGTCCTTAAATTTCTTCTTTTCTATTTATACTTAAAGAGTTCCTAGTGATCTTATCCTGTTTGATACCTTTAAATACCACTAATTATGCTGAAGGCTTCCTTATTTAAATTTGTGGCCACTCCTATCCTCTAAGTTCAAACTTGTGTCCATCTCCCTACACAGGCATTGTATGAAATTAGAGCTCTTAATACATCCCTCTCCTTTGATCTACTCACCACTACGGCCTCTATTTTAAATGGCAATTCCATCCTTTGGCCAGCTACCCAGGCAAAAAAATCTGAAGTCATCCTTTCCTTCCTCTATTACATCTGGCATGTGATCCATCCATAATTCTTATCAGTACTACTTTCAAAAGATATCCAGAATCTAACTAAATAGCCCATACCATCACTTTCTTATACTAATTAATATGTTTATCCTGTCTCTTCCACTAGAGTATAGGCATGCATGGTTTAGCAGGGGTCCTCAAACTGCGGCCCGCGGGCCACATGCGGCCCGCCGAAAACATTTACCCGGACCACCGGGAGTTTTTGCCTCCGCTGCCTGTCCTGCTTAGCAGCCGACTCGTCCCGGGCCCGCAGTGCGCATGTGTGGAATGTCTGAGGGACAGTGAACTGGCCCCCTGTTTAAAAAGTTTGAGGACCTCTGGTTTACTGTTTTGTTTTAGCCTGTTTTGTTCATTGCTACATCAATAATATGTGGCACACAGTAGGTGCTCAATATTTAAGCAAATAAATTATCCTAGTTGCTACACTATGCGTTTGGGAACCACATCTTATTGAACAATTTATAGACTTACCAAATCATAAACCTACATTATGAAACTTCAAAGAAGGACAGCCAACAATCCCTGCTGAGCAAGCTCCTGATCTTGCTGAATTCCAATAAAATTCCCAGTGCAAGCACTTTGCCTTCAAACCCTCTAATTTTCCTTCCAACCCTTCCATCTTTATTTATATAACTACTAGAGGCCCAGTGCATGGGATTCGTGCACTGGTGGGGGGTGTGGCCTGCAGGGATAGTCCCACTGTGGGAGCGCTGGTCACCCTGGTCAGCTGCTCGGCTGTGGACCCGCCCTCTGAGCAGCTGCTCCCAATGCAGGAGCACACTGACCACTAGGGAGCAGCTCCTGTGTTGAACGTCTGCCCGCCCCCGTAGTCAGTGTGCGTCATAGTGACTGGTCAACCAGTCATTCTGCCATTCAGTCACTGGGCTTTTACTACATAGGACATTTCTAATGTTCTTTAAAAGAGTGTAAGAATACTATACCTTTCCTTCAACCCAAACTCACTTCTCCCATGTGTTTCAATTTCAGAAAAGGTTCCCTTTCTTTGTCTAATCTTTTAATTTCCTGCCTTTAATTTTGGAAATAAAAATCAAAATTGGAAATTTATTATAGGAGATGGAAAAAATACAGATTCAAACCAGTGGAGTCACTGATATCATCAATATTGACATTTTGTATTTAAATTCTCATGCATTTTAATTAAACTATGAAAATACAACCTTAATTTAGTGTGTTTTATATTTCAATAGCCAAAATTAAACAACTCTTTTTCCAGGGATTCAAATCACTAAGAGCCGGGTCTAAAATTTTGACTTCTACTAACTTACTGTCACCAAACTATAGTAATTTAAAGATGACCGGACAATAAAATGGCAAGTAGCATGGGAAGAGAGAACACTCTATTAACTCCTAGTCAACCAAAACTATGTTGTGTACTGCTTTTTCAAATTTGATAGCTTTCTTTTTCTATACTGAGCAACATAATAATTCAGCAACTATAATGAGTACCTAGTATGTGTCAGAGACAAACAACTGAAGAAAGTTGGGATACATCAGTGGAAAAAACAGAATGAAAACCCCTTCCCTTCACAAAGCTTTGATTTAATAGCCATTATCCATTTTCTATTTAACACAAACTTTAGATGTATGTTTGGGTGTGAGAGAGGAACATGCAGTATACAGGGATGTGAGCTTAAAAGTTAAGTCTGATGTTCTAATTTTACAAATGAGGAAACCAGGTAAAAAAAGATACCAACTATGCCTAGTGGCCCAAATGCCAACCCAATATTCCCAAATAGCTCAAATTAAAGGCTAAAATACTCAACCTAATAATAAAATGTCAAATTGTGAATATTGCTTTATAACCAATAGAAAAAAAATTTTTAATGTTTGTAAAGCAAAAAGTTTTGGTTTTTCTAGTTAAAATGTATTTTTGTAGATTGTGAGCAATTTAGAAAGTTAAAATACACATTTTCACAAACCTATGCAAATAATTTGAAAAACAAAAACAAAAACAAATACTTACAGTACTATGAAAAACAACACTGTGTCCCTTCCCTAAACTTTCTATATGAGCTGAGAGGTTAAAGCATATGGCTCGATGTCTTATCGCATCCAGTGTTTGTGCATCGAAGAAATCATGTGGTCGTGCTAAAAATCAATACAAAAGAGATAAAGAATACATACATAAATACAACAGTCTGCTAAACAGCCATGTAGTCCATTTTCCACAAAAATATGTAATAAGAAAGATAGAAACAATTAAGAAGTATCAATCTAGTGTTTAAATCCAAAATTTTCTTTGCTTTCAAAATACAGAGTCTAGCTGACAAGATAAGGATGTACAAAAGCAAAATCCCAACTAATGAGTGAATATAAGTTAATTTGGCCTCTTGGTGTGTGAGGTTCTAACTTCAGAACTTATGATTCCATATTTCAGCTACTATATTTTTCACATAATTTTGTATTTTATTCCAGTATCTCTCCGAGCACCACTCTGCATTTTCAACAATCTGATGACCACCTCCATCTATGTAACACACTGAGATCTCATTCACCACAAATATATGGAATGCACTTCATGAACATTTTACATTAATATGTAATCAAAATTTTTCCAAATTTAACAGTGGTAATATTATTTGGGGGGTTTGGGTAAGTATTTCTTGATTATAAATAACTCTTCTAAAGCAAACTTTTAGTGTGTTCACAACAAACTTATACATTGAAGATTTAATTTGGTAAGAACATTTAAAAATTTTTATTTTCATCCCACCAATATTACAAATTATATTATTTTTATTCTTAATTAGAACATTGCTCAAAATAAGGAAAATTAATTTGTTGTTTTACAACTATGGAGCTTATTAATACATGTAATCTTATCAGATCATCTGTAATTAAAAATTAAAATTTACCGACAACAGAAATGGCTTGATTTCACAGTACAGCATATTCTGAATTACATGTAGCTGATTTACTATTCTGATTTACTACTATGTGTAGTGGATTTACCTCCACCATTCATGGAGCTGTCAGAACATCTACACTAATCCACCAGAGCTTTTGGGGAGAGCAGGGGGTATTTTACAAGCTGGCATTCGCAAAGCAACCTAGATACCTCTGTTGTCACTGGATTTTTCTCAGAAAGAAATAAGAAAAACACCAACTAGTAACAAACTAGCAGAACGCATAAGACTAAGAATGAAGTAATGAGAAATTAAAGAGAAATAATATTTAACATTTATAAGAGAAAAGGGTTATGATTTTACTTAATGCTAAGAAACAAATCCCCTTCCCATTAGATCTGTGACTACTGGGGAAAAAGTGTACTTTCTCTATGCTCTCCAAATATGCTTTTTCCTGAGAAGGATAAGCACTTGGAGAAAATAAAAATAGGTGGAGGTGGGCAAAACGGGTGGGGGGGGGGGGCATCTGTAAAAGTGTAAACAATAAAAATAAAGTTTAAAAAGAAAAATAACTTCTCTAAATCATTCAAATCTACCACTCCCCATTCAAGATTCAAACATAGATGTCATCACTAGAATTAAATTTATAAGGAGCACTCAAACTTAAGATTCTATTCTATACAGACCTTAACCATGTTATGTCCACTATTAAAGTATCAAAGTATACTAAACTTGACCTGGCCGGTGTTTCTCAGTGGTTAGTGTTGGTCGCAGGTCCGATTCCCAGTTAAGAGCACGTACCTGGGTTCCAGGTTTGATCCCCGACCCCAGTCGGGGCACATGTGGGAGGCAACCAATCCATGTGTCTCTCGCACATCGATGTTTCTCCCCCCTCCACACACCTCTCTCCACTCCACTTTTTCAATGAAAAAAATATCCTCAGGTGAGCATAAACAACAACAAAAAAGAATACTAAACTTGAACAATAGTCTCCAAAGTAGGTGAGTGTTATGATCCATTAGAGCAGTGGTTCTCAACCTTCCTAATGCCTCGACCCTTTAATACAGTTCCTCATGTTGTGGTGACCCCCAACCATAAAATTATTTTCGTTGCTACTTCATAACTGTAATTTTGCTACTATTATGAATCGTAACGTAAATATCTGATATGCTATATGTGTTTTCCGATGGTAGCGACCCACAGGTTGAGAACTGCTTCATTAGAGTAAGGAAGAAAATATCACTTTTCAACTCACTGCTTTTCAATAGTCCTTCTTGGTAACTGTTTTATGATGTGCATTAGCAGTATTACCCATATATACTATATACATATGTTAGAATTATGTACACAAGCATTTTTTTAAAAACTGGTAAGCCTCATAATCAAAAGGTAACTGGATCCATAACCTAAATTCAATAGAACTTTGAAAAATAAATGTTTAATTTCAACAATAAGAAAATTAAGAGTTTAAAGAGGTATATTTTTCACTTGTAGTGTGTTCATTTGTCCACTGTAGCTTTGTAGTAACAAAAATATTTCAATGTTTTAGAGATAACTGTCTGCTTTATAGTCTGGATTAGTGTCTGAAGTTTCTCCTATACTCTACTCAAAAATCCCAAGAGAAAAAACAAGATGCAATCTTTTTTTCTTTCTAGTTCACCCTTGCAGTGGCCTCCCATTTCAATGATAGCTTCCCTCATATTTCTTCATTCAAGATATATTTAGTTAGCTAGTGGACACTATGAACCAGGCAGGGCTCTGGGGTTTCAAAGTCAATTCCTGCTCCCAACATTTACAAGTCTTGTCATCTAATTGTGTTCTACCCTAAATATCCAAGATATATCTCATAATCTAGTAATTAAGTACATAACAATTGTTATGTGTGTGTTACAATAGACTGTGAAGTGCTGAAACACAAAAATAGTTTTGCTATTCACACACACATCACTTTGGAGCAGGTATAACCTACCTTAACTTTTACTTGTACTTTACCTTTAGCATGTTCAATTTTTTAGAAAAACTATTAGAAACATCAACACTGCCACCATGTTTTAAATTTTCTTAGAACAAAATCAAAGTAGCCCTCAAAATGTAATTCTATATAGTTTGTATTCTAAAGCCATATATATAGACTCACACTTTCTTAGCTACTACAGATAAAACTGTTATTGAATTCTCACATTGTCCCACAGTTATCCTATCTGTTTATTACTGTTAACAAAAGTAGATAAGCAGAGTTGAAGAACAGTAAAAACTGTTTTTCATGAAAGAATAAGATATGAACAAAAGCATTGTAATACACACAGATTTTCAGTGAAACACTTACGTAATGAGCGTCGTCTTTTGTTCTTTAATTTCCTTCTTTTGTTCATTCCAGCTTTAGAAGGAGATTCTTCTTTGGCCTTTGGCTGGCTAGAAACTTTTGAGGAGTTCTGCTGACTGAAGTGTGTGGGTACGTGGCGAGCTAGCCCTCCCTGAGAAGCAAAGCTGGCATTGCAGCCACCAACAACACACTAAATAAAAGTAAAAAAGCATATCAGGGATGCTGTGTTGGGAACAAGTAAATTTTCAGAAGTAAATCAGCAAGCTATAGAACTAATTCCAGAAAATAAGAACCCTCTCATTTTATTTTATAAGTTGCCCAAAGTCATATACATTAGGTAGTGGCAGAGCTGGAAAATAAAATTCAAGTTTCATGACTCCCCAATTTACTGCTCTTCCCACTATACACAAGACAAAAACAGTGGAACCTTCTTTCCAGAAAAATCTGGTTTTGAATTAACCACTTTTGTTAAGAGGAGCAACAAGTTATTTTACACCAAAGAACTATATACCTACCAACTACTTGCGTTCTAGATTTTTAAAATTATTTTTATCTTATAACATATGCTATTTCAAAACCAACCTGCTATTCTAACAGATAGGAAAGAAATGTAGTAATACAGATATTTTTAAAATATGCTTTTATTGATTTTTAGACAGAGAAGAAGGGAGAGGGAGAAATAGAAACATCGATGAGAGAAGACGAACATCATCAATCTGCTGCCTACTGGGGATCGAGCCAGCAACCCTGGCATGTGCCCTGACTAGGGATCAAACTGGCGACCTCTTGGTTCCTGGGTCACCGCTCAACAGCTGAGCCATACCAGCCAGGCAGTAACACTGATTTTTTTTTTTTAATATTTTTATTGATTTCAGAGAGGAAAGGAGAGGGAGAGAGAGATAGAAACATCAATGATGAGAGAAAATCATTGATCGGCTGCCTCCTGAATGCCCCTATTGGGGCTCGAGCCCACAATCCTGGAATATGCCCTTGACCGGAATCAAACCCAGGACCCTTCAGTCCACAGGCCAACACTCTATCCACTGTGCCAAACCAGCTAGGGCAGTAACACTGATTTTTAAACTATTAAATCTAGCCTCTCACAGAAGACTTATGCTCAGAGTTGGGCTTATGCAGCTTCTCTATAAGTTCCATTAATTACTGCCTCTTTAGCCTTCTATACTTACAAGATTGAGAAAACAAAAGATTAGCTATTGAAGTCAACCTGGTGGATCTGCTATTCCAACAATGAATGCAGAACGCTTGGATATCACTAAAATTAGCATATATGTTAAAAATTACAATATACAAATTAGTTATAGTAAAAGTGGATGATTTCTAGTTAGCTCTTAGGAAATAATATATGCAGGTCTTCTAACAAATGAATGTTATATAAAACAAATAACATTTTCCAAAATAAGCCCCAAACAGCAAAACCCACAGCTAGATTGCTGGTATCTTTTCTATTAGTAATTTATTGACTTAGTTTCTGACTTGACAACCAAAGTCCAGCCATACAAATCTGTTACATTTAACCAATTACATGCATGAGATTATTCCTAGGTGGTTCAATTTATATTACATTTTAGGTAGGTAACGTCACAAAAAATCTACATGTTTCAGGGTCTTTCTATCAACAGGCACCTCTACCATTTTAAACTTCTAAAAGCACAACACAACCCTCTATTAGTAGAGATCCTAATTTTATTCACAAAGTCTCTCTAAAACTGCCTAAGTGAAAAGGAGCTCATCCTCCTTTGAGGAGATCCTTACACTTTCACTGCGTATCTAGATACTTCTCCCAACTCAACCCTTCCATTCATTTTACATCATAGGTATATTTCTATGTATCAGCAGAAATGAACTGCTTAGAGAACCTGATAAAACCAATGCTGGCTGAAACACTTTACAGCAAGCTCCTTATATAATGCCATTAATAATTATTCTTTTTACTTTGAAATACAAGAGACATATGGGCTCTAATTGTACTCAGCATTACTAATAAAAATCTTTGCCCATTCTAGGGTGCACACTAAGTTAAGAGGCAGAGGAATGATTCAAGGTTTTAGTTCAAATCATTATCTATTTTATGTCCAGTACTATGCAAGATTCTGTCAGTATAAGGATGACAGATATAGTTCTCACCCTGGAAGTGCTTACTTACATGTGGTCACCAAGACATATATATAAAGTAACTTCAAAGGACTACCATCAGGGGTAAGGCACAGAGTGCTACAGGAACCCTGAAAAAAGCAGTCAGCCATATCCTGTACTTTAAAATAATATTGCATTTACTTCTTACAAGGACCCTATGAATACTGTGTGGTCCTCCGATAGCCTGCACCAAGAATGTTCAGCTATAGACCCCGACCATGAGAAGTTTAGTATCTAATGGTTACTGAATTCTTAGAATGTAAAAATTTACTACACATGCTTTGAGTACCAAGAAAGAATAATGCTTTTTAAAGTTTCCATCTTCTACAGTTTACCATATTGCCATAGAATGACCCTGTCGACTACAGGAGCCAAGAGCCAAGTAAGGCTACTATAACTAAGAAACCAAATTTTTAATTGTATTTAAATTAATTTTTATTATTGATTGACGTGAAATTCACATATCATACTATGTTAAAGAATACAATTTAGTGTTGTCTATTCACAATGTTGTATAACCATCAGCTTTATATCCTTGCCAAATATTTTTCTTTTCTTTTATTAAAACCATCTAGTAAGAAGTAGTACCTTTATGGTTTTTTTTATTATTATTGATTTCAGAGAGGAAGGGAAAGGGAGAGAGAGAGAGAAACATTAATGATGGGAGAGAATCACTAAGTGGCTGCCTCCTGCACACCCCACACTGGGGATGGAGCCCGCAACCCAGACATGTGACCTTGACCAGAATCAAACCTGGGACCCTTCAGTCTGCAGGCTGACACTCTGCCCACTGAGCTAAACCAGCTAGGACTCTTTATGGTTTTTAGTTGTACTTTCTTAATAACCATTTTGATTTTTAATTTAAAACATAATACTTAACTACTGAAAAACTTTTAAGTATGTTTGAACAACTTGGGTATGTGATTCTACCTCTGAAACTGCGAATTTTATAATATCTAAACAATAGACCAACTGTTTAGCATCTGAATTGAGAGTACTTTTTAAGTGGAATTACACTTACTAGTATAGGTTAGTTTTGCACTATCCAATACATTTTAGCTATTAGATAAATATAACTAACTGAGCATTTGAAATATGGCTATAAAATACACACCGAATTTGGAAGATTTGGTATCATAAAGAGTAAAACATTTCATTAATTTTGCACACTTATACAATATTGAAATAATGTAATGGGTTATTTCAAAGATATTTAAGTTATTTTAACCGGTTTCAATTATTTTAATGTAGCATTGGAAATTTTTAAATGACCTATCTGGTTTAAACATATTTCTATTACACAGTACTGCCACAAAATAAGCCATACAATACTTATTTTTCTTACTTTCCAAGAAGATACCATCCCTATATTCCCTAACATATATTATAAACATCTTTTGTAGCCAATGTGTTAGATACTTCAAAGAATCCTATGTAATAAAAGCCTAATATGCTAAGTGTCTGGTCATCCAGTGACCAGTCAACTATTCAACCAATCAAAACATAACATGCTAATGATATGCTAAGGCCACTCAACTGCTCACTATGACGTGCACTGACCACCACAGGGCAGACAGTCGACTGGTCAACCAGGCGCTATGACGTGCACTGACCATCAGGGGGCAGACGCTCCAACCGGTAGGTTAGCTTGCTGTTGGAGTCCGGCCGATGGGACTGAGCAAGATGAGCCGGACACACCCTGGAGCCCTCCCACAGTCTCTCCCTGGCCCAATGTTGCATTAGTGGGGTCCCTTGGCCTGGCCTGTGCCCTCTCGCAATTGGGACCCCTCAGGGAATGTCAGAGCTGGTTTCAGCCTGATCCCAAGGCCACTCCCCTTGGGAGGGCGCCAGACGCAGGGCTCACGGCTGGTGAGCACTGCTGCGGAAGTGCAAGCCTCTCCTGATCAGGACTGATTGGGCACGAGCCCGCAGCAGTTGCAGTGGGGCCAGGATGAGTGGGAGTGGCAGGTAGGAACTGCAGGTGGGGTTGGACTGCGGGTTTTGGCCCAATCCCCGCAGGTCACCCAGAGGGCCCCACCGTGCAGGAATTCATGCACCAGGCCTCAAGTATAACATAAGTAAGAGTCTTTGCCCTTGGGTTCCGTTTAATATTGGTTAGTCAAACAAATTTGCTGGAAAAGCTCTGCATTTTAAAATTTTAGAACAGCTACTTGACTATAATTAAAAGGCAGAGATGACAGTAACAGTTTAGATCCAACCCCTCAGGTTTAAAATCAGAGGGATTTTGTGGTATGATTCCACTGGTATTAGCCTTAATTATAAGGTTCCCAGTAGATTTAGTGGATTCATTTTCTCCTGGGATCCTTCAAGACTGCAAAGAATAGGCCCTGGTACATCTAAAACTGAGAGTAAATATCACAAGTTTATTTTAATCAACAATTAAATCAATGATTAAATGATCTAAAAATAAAGTCAATAATGAGAATTCTAAGAGAAAACTGTTTTCTTTGATTTTGATCATTCATCAATTAAGGACCATAAACATATCTATAAAAATTTAGAATGAAAAACAGTACTTTTATTAAAAACTAGTGGCCTGGTGCACGAAATTTGTGC